GGGGGCATAGAAAAGACGAGGAATGCCAAGAAGTTGGAAACTTGACATGGAAAAACACACACTCTCAATTTTCCCCGCCACATTCAACACAAGCACGTTACATTGCATTACACCGCAATAAACCGAACGTTTCCAAACCCCAAAACGGCCCTTCTCGTGGCAATAGAAGCGTAAAACATCCTAAATGTTATTTTAAACAGATAAAGAACTAGTGGGTGCGCACAAGCGCACTCTCAACTACTCATTACAACAAGCAACAATTTCTCAAAGTTAAGAATTGTTCACCGAGTTCGGCAATAGGAATCTTCACAACTTACTGTTTGACGGCTGTCTGTCTCGAACACTAATTTCAGACTCAGCCTGGCAAAGTACGAACAGGAGAGACGACCAGTCCGCCTACTTTTGCCCCACCTTCTTTTTCAAGTCCACACACCCATCTTGCCTCTGCCGACTCCCCAAAAGAAAAAAAAAACCCACACTCCGTTTCACTGGGTCCAACCCACCCCTTAGTTTTTAGTGGTCCAGCTCGCACCCCCACAACTCGCCGCCGCTGGCCCAGCCCCTCCCCCTTTCTGTCCACACACGCCCCCGCGGGGGGACTCTTATACAACATCCTTTTTCTCCTTCGGTGTCTCCTGACTTTGTCACTCAGCTGATGGTGAATTTGTTCTGGGAGGGCAGCAGATGACTCACTGAGGTTTTGGTGTGTGGGGGTGGGGGGGGGCAGTTGTGTCTGACTGCTGGCTTCCTCATTTGGCACTCCTCACGATGTGATGAAGAGGGAGAGCAGGCTGCAAGTAAAGCAGGGGGTGAGTGCATTTTTCTTATATTTCATTGAATTTAACGTCTGTATTCATGTACGTGATGTCAAATTAAGCCTGGTTGAGAACTGGGCGTTTTCTTCTGCTTTGCTTCTCATTGACCCCTAATTACCATAACTTTGCTGTTTTTTCTGTTGTATTCCCCCCACCCTCTCCCTTAGTGAAATCCTTTAAATTGGGTAAAAGCCTGCACCTTTTGTGGAAAATCAAATTCAAAATTGTCAGTCAATAGTTGTTGTTTGCAAGTAATGCGATGAGACGAGACAAAGTTTGACACCCCTGTTATAAGGCCCACGCACACGCACAGCCGTACGATTCTCTCCACACCCGTTGACCAGTGTCTCCGCCACCCAGGCATGATGGCGTTCCTTCAGCAAATGCGTTCCCCGGCGCTCTCCTTCAT